CCACAATACTGCCGGGAGAACATTACTGCCATTGTTAGGGAAACATGCCATCACATACCTGTCTGCCCCATTCCGCGAAACATGAGCAAGTTATACCATGGGGCAAGAAGACAAGCTAGACCTCGTCAGCTTCAAAAACAGTTGGGCGAAAGCCACGAAGTAGTATACACTGATGCCACTAAATCAAACGATTGCTAGCTATTCGAACTAAGGAGGGAGAGAACACCTCCGCATTAGTCTTGTCTGATTCCCTGGAAGCTTGCAGAATGTTTCTCCGTGGTGCACTATCGAATGTCGCCTTGGAAATACTAGGTGACAAGTTGATACAAGACCATGTCATTATATAGTGCCCAGGCCACGAGGGTATCTCGGATATTATGCTGGCGCACAGGTAAGCTCCTGATTTGAGCAACCGAGTGAACAACGACACCGATAATCAGTACGAACCTTGCACTGCGCGTGATATACTCGAGCATCAACGGAAGACAAGACAACGGTGTGCCCCACCGCACAAATTGCTTAAAGTTGACGAAGCTCACCAGCTAAGACAAATACAGGTTAACACCTATCCACATTTGGAAAAGTGGCATCACATAAACCCCACTGCACCAATGTCTGTGGTGCGAGTCGAGAGTGACATTACAACACATCACATGGGACTGCCGGAGGAAGCCAATGGAGGTTCAGTCGCCCCTGATACTCACACTACTAGGAAAGCCTTGGGAGGCCGTGCTCGCCCAACCTGACCTGAAGACCCAAAGGGGTCTCCTGAATCAAGCCGGTCGAGCTGCAGCGGCCACTGGTGTCCTGGAATGAGGAAACCACCCTTGAAATTCTCCCCTCCCTGCTCTTTTTCATAAATGAAATGTTGCATCATCATCATCTATGCGGGGAATAGACTGTTTTCACAACAAATCTGTGCAGGGCAGAGCTTCGCCTCGATGACGTAGGCATTTTTTTTCCTTCCTTGAGGCGCGGTGCTCATCCTTATGGTTTTGTTATTTTCCCCCTCTCCTCTCTCAGTTTGTCGGCGAAGTGCCGTTCGTTTGGGGCGTGCGCGCAGTGCGTGTTCTGGTGTTTTGTCTGCGGTTCGCAGCATGCATTATCGTGAAGACGGCTACTACGGCTACCTGAAGTCAGACAATGAGCTTATCGAAGGTCTTTGGCTGTTGTCAGCTAGAGGTATGCTGTGCGGACAATAAGAGACCTGAACAAGTCGTCTAAATGATGTAAGGATGTATCGATTGCTTTTTCTGTCGCTATGCACCTTGATTTAGCATTAAAAAATGCAGTATTAATTTCAACCAGGGACTCAACACGGCAAAACGTACTTGAACATATTTTTACACAGCGCATGACTACGCAGACACAAGAGTAAAAGATGCGAACCACAGCGCTGTTCTTCTTCACTTGTGTCCGCATAGTTGTGCGCTATGTTAAAATATGTTCAAGTACTATCACCAACAGGTCCAGCTTCTAGTCTTTTTGCACGGGAGAATGACAGGTTTTCAGTTAGGGCTAGAGCTGCAGAAATGGTTTCGCGTTTCTGAAGATTGTTATCATTGTTCTGGTTTCTGGTTCAGAGTTCTCGCAGCGCTGATTTATTAAATGCGAAGCATTTCTTAGTGAATTTCACTGACTTTGAGCATACCTACCTACCCACATAGCTACATACCTACCCCCCACGCACCTCCTACCTACCTACCTATCTACCTACCCACCTACCTATCTACCTACCTATCTACCTACCTACCTACCTACCTGCCTGCCTGACTACCTGCCTCCCTGTCTACATACTTGCCTGCCTGCCTGCCTGCCTGCCTGCCTGCCTGCCTGCCTGCCTGCCTGCGTGCCTGCCTGCGTGCCTGCCTGCCTGCCTGCCTGCCTGCCTGCCTGCCTGCCTGCCTGCCTGCCTGTCTGTCTGTCTGTCTGTCTGTTTGCCTGTCTGTCTGTCTATTTGTCTGAGCGAGTGAGTGACAGACCGACCGACCGACCGACCGACCGACCGACCGACCGACCGACCGACCGACCGACCGACCGACCGACCGACCGACCGACCGACCGACCGACCGACTTCAGCAATAGACTTCGACGACCGGCCGGCCGGTCGGTCGGTCGGACGGTCTATTACTCGGTCGGCCGTATTTACTTCAAAAAGCAGAGGCCCCTTTGGCCGGCCGGCCAAAGGGGCCTCTGCTTTTTCAAGTAAATACGCTTACACAAGCACTTCAAGCACAAAGTTTCCTTCAAAAAAAGAAAAGAGAAAACTGGAGAATCTTTGAGCTTCACCTTCAGAAGTGTGGCAGCTTGGGCTAGTTGGTATGGCATGACGATAGTTATAGCGCGAGAACAAAACGACGACACAGAGACAAGAATCAAGAGACAAGAATCAACTTGTCACCTAGCGCTCGTGTCTTTCGTGTCCTTCTTGTCTCTGTGTCGTCGTTTTGTTCTCGCGCTATAACTATCGTTTCACCTTCAGGTGTAGATAGCACAATCGGGCTTCTTGCCCTTCTGAAACGCTATCCGTTCTCGTTACATGCCTCAAACACTCATGATGCGCTCGCAGTTGTTTCGCCAGCTCCACATATACCAAGTTTAGTATTATGGGACGTGAATAGATGACAAAGGTATGTGAATAGTGCTAACATGATAATCATACGATGCGTGTCATGTAAAAACTTGACTACATGCTACGTTCATGATGTGCTCGCGGCATCAATGAAATCATTGTGAAATAAACAAGAGCAGCTCCATATGCAATGCTATTTAGGTAATTGCGGCCTATGTTTTGAACGGGCGTTCTTAAAGTCTGAAGTCTATTGCTGACTCTCAACGTGAGCCAAGGTGACAGGCGTGAAAAATGCGGCCTGTTGTCAGTTGCTTGAGCTCGTCTGTGTATTCATGGACATATTGTTGTAGCCTTAATATTTGACTGCTCAGCTCTGTTTGTTTCTTCTTCTCTCTGGCCTCTTGATGCGGTTGCGAGCAGAGTAGAGGCGAAATGGCTGTCGACCTGGATGCTTTTGTCGCATGGGGCACCTTGTTAAGCCTTAAAAGCACTCATTCCTTAGGACACAGTAGATGATAATTGTTTGTTTCATGAATAACTCATATGGTGCCCATGGGCTCCCATCAAGCTTCGGAACATAATGTTTTTATTTAGTTATTAGTGCAACCTTCAACAACATTCTTTAGTGCAATCTTATTCATTTATCAGTGCAACCTAATGTTGCACACGGCAGCGATTGCAAGGCAGCTTTGCTACCTATATATTAATTTGTTGGCTGTTTGAATGAAGCGCATGCCGTTTAGTGATACCCATTGCCATGCTTCCAAGCGTGAAGGGTAGTCTTGAGCCACCATTTCCTATGATCTTATTAAAAAGATCTATAAAATATTCGCGTTGTAAATGACGACTACATAATCGAGTGTAGTATGAAGATGTATTAGTAGACCAATTATCCTGGCTGATTACTGCAAGCACACTTACCAAAACTCCAGCGGCAGCTGCAATTTTATGGAACTACAGCTGTACACTGTATTAAGGTGATCCTTGAATACCTCATCAAAAGTGAGAGTTGATCGCCGCTGGCATCCGGCATCTTCTCGCGTTAATGTCGTCAACACGAGTGATGTAAGATATCATCATTACGTGAAGACGTCATCATATGACATCACAGATTATAAAATTTTGTGACATATTGGAAGGTCACATAATTACTTGACGGCATCATATTACATCTTCGCATAATAGAAATGGGCTGATCATGAATGCAGTGCATAACCAGCTAAGGGGCAGAAAGCTCTAGCTTGGTCTTCATGGAATCCTTCAGGCAGTAAGAAAACCACGTTGAGCACAGAAATATCCCGGAGAGAAGTGGAAAACATTCAGTGCACTGAATGGAAAGAAAACAAGAATAGTTCTTGCCTTTCAGTTGTCTCAGGTGAATCTCTAAGAGAACCTGTGAGTTCTTTTTTTTTTGTCTATAATAAAAATGAAAAACAATCGGATATTTCTCTGTCAGATATCCAGAGTGGTACACAGTAGTATTATATACTGATGTATTAAAATGATGAGGTTGCAATAGCTTAAAATAGAAAATAAAATGTGAGTGCTGTAATAATCAAGTGCATATATGAAACCGGTAGCACAACCTGACAGACTACTTGCAGAATATGTACAGTGGGCATGGAAAGAAATGCGGACATGCTGTATCTACATCATTTTCTGTTTCACATTTAATTTAAGTGGTTCTAGCCTGGATGATTGATAAGAAACCGAGTTATTCATGTGAGAAAGGCCATTAGCATATTTTTGTTGCCACCACAGTCAGAGCCCAGTGAAAGCAGCGCGCCGCTTTGTTCGTGTTACTTTTCATCCCCCCTGTACCCATGAAAGCCGTCGAGAGGCACAAATACAAACTACGGAACTCGCATGAAAATGCGAATTTGCGAGCTTCCTAATACGTGCGGTCGTTAAGCGCTAGCTTCCTGTTGTCTACTCGCGCAGCGCCGCCATACGGCAGCAGCAAGCTGAGGCGGAGTGTGGGCTCGACGACCTGAAGGGAGCGTTCGCCCAGGCGCTGAAAAAAGTTGAGGAGGCGCTGGTGGGTGTAAAAAGAAGTTTGGGGACAGAAAAACATCGAGCAGTAGCATCATTTAATCTTTTGGGACAATCTAAGAAAAGGTGAATGTATTTGTGCATACATCACTTTTGTTAAATTTGAAGTACATCTGAGCAAACTTAGAGACAAATATTTGCTTTGGAAAATGTCTGCTGGTAACGGCTCCACAAGGTTGCTATACAGCTACGAAGTGAGTTTTCAGCTGCTCCAGAAGGGGCGTCAAATCCTACTCGGGCCCTCCTGGCAACTCTTGGTGCTGCTGCGGCCAATCTCAGTGTTCGCTCTGCTCGCACAACACTTGCAGCCATGTGCTTGTTGTTCTGTGAGCTGACATGACTATATATACTGGTTGCTCATGTTTCCTTTCCTCAGCCATGGCAACAAGGAAGTGTTCTCATGCCGAGGCATCAAGTTGGCAGTGGACTGGTTTCGAGACAGAGGTCACACAAACATCAGCGTCTTCGTCCCTAGTTGGCGAAAGGAAGCCTCACGTGCGGAGACCCCCATCAAGGGTGAGCTCTTATTCTGCCTTTGCCAGAATGCTTGCATATGTTCTTTTTGTTTTGTAGGGTCACCAAAGGCCAACATCAATTTGTGCCAAGGGGAAGCTCAATTTTTTATATCAATAGTATTATTGCAGTACTTTACTATAATCGAGAAAATAAGGTCACAATATGCATCACCAGTGTCACATTTTGGAATGTGCCTTACGACGTCAAGTGTCCCGAGCCCAATGAAATCAGTAGTACACTAACAACTTAAAACAAAAAATATTTCATGCATTACACAAGGTAATAAAATGCCATGTGCGCTTTTCCTTGATTCATGGAAAAAAGAACTTGGCAGGCGAATGGTTCGAATGGTTCGCTGGTATGCACTCCAGTTACCCGGTTGCATCTCCCCCAACACAGTTGCATTCTCGTGGCTGTTTTAGGGGCGGTGTTCCTTAGGGTCGAGCCATGTATGCTGTTGTCCCTCGATGACATTGAACGCAAGCGCGTTGCTGACCACACATTCTCTTTCTGTCATCATGGCACAGCACTTGCAAAGTACCCGCTATACATCATGACGGTGAAGGTCACTATGCCACACATCCTTCTGCTGATGAGCAAGGTATAAATCTGCAAGGCATTATGTGCACATTGTTTCTGCTGCGGCTGATGAAGAAGTGCGTTCCAGACCACACATTCTCTTTCTGCCGTGGATGAAAATGAATGTGAACGCCCATAAAGCAGCTTTGACATGGGAAACTTCTTCAGCTTCTTCTGTCATCTAGACAAAAGAAGCAGAGCACCAGGCGAGAATGTTCGGATGTACATTAAAGAGACCACGGTACAGATCTCAAGCTACCAACGACCAGTCAGAGTCACAATGGCGAACATGCTACGATAAATTTATCAAATGGAATCGTTCTAATTACATTGACCTGGCCCCAAATTTTTACCGAGGCAGCCCATCGATATATCAATGCGAGACTATGATACAAAATACAAGAACGACCCCTTCATACTGGTTGGTGACTTCAATGTACATATGACGTCGCGATATGCTCTGAGATGTAGTCATGTGACTGTAAAAAACCACCAACAACCAGGGGTACGTGTATAGACCGGGTCTTTGTGACGTAATCTCATCCAAGAATCCTTGGCTCTTCATTTCACTGATCATAAGGCAGTTTTAATGAAGAGAAAACATAGTTCACACCTCAACACCACGTAGTACGGGCAATAAAATAACATTGTATATAGTGATAAAAAATCCGTAAGCAGGGATCGAGTCAAACCGACGTTTTGACAAGCGGACTTGTTTTCTTCAAAGCTAGAACAGAACTGATTTCTTTAGCGCTAGCATGTCTATACTTTGTACTCTCTTCTTTGTTTTAACAAAGGAGGGGGAGGGGGCAGAATTGCATACATGGGTGTAAGAGAGCATGGGAAGGCTGTGACGAATTGTATGAGTGAAGAAGGAACAGGCATTTCGTGAATAAAACTAAAATAAGAAGGTGGTGGTGAGGTGAGAATGTGTCGCTGAGTCCCGATTGTCGAACCAGCTGTCATAACTTAACAATGGCTGATGAAATTCTTAGACGGAGAGCTTACTTAACTCGCAGTGGTGTTCTTTAATTGTGTATGTACCATACTGAATGGATTCAATAGCCCCTTTAGAAATGTTTATGCCTACTGCCTGGAGTGTGTTGAACTTGTCAATAAGGTATGACTTTGAATATTACTGCCTCTTACGAACTGGAAGTTCCACTGAAGAATGTAGACTTTAAAATTGTGAAAGTTTTGTCCTGCTACATTTAAAAAATGCTGTGCCACTGCTTTCAGTAATTTCTTTGCCGTGTCCAAGTGATGACCTTTTATTTTAACATTAGCAGGCTGTCCTGTTTCGCCAGTGTGCTGTTTATGTACGACAATATGAACATTCTATCATGTAGATAAGGTTTTCACTAGTGCCGGTGAAACTAGGTTTTATATGATGTACATAATCACTCCCAGTACTTTTAATTATCATGTCCTATTGAAGGTGTTTACAAGTCTTGCATCTCGGACAGGAGCAAGGTGTTACTTGGGAGTTTTCTTTTGCATTACATGAGAGTTTATTATTGATTGCACTAAATTGTTCTTAAAATTCATATTGCGGCGAGACACGATCTTCGATACTTTGGGAAGCACCTTAAAAGAAAAAAAGAGGCCCGCTCCTGGTTCATGTGCATCCACCTAACCTCGCCACCAGGCCATGCTACTGGTGCCACCATGTTAAACCTGCCTTGTGCTAGCCCAGCACCTGCCCTCTACTATTTATTTATTTACGGATACTGCAATCCCTATAGAAGATTTTAGCAGGGTGGAAATACATCGTCACGGTAAAAAAATTTAGGCAGAAAAACAATGAAGGGTGGCAAACATTGTTTCCAAAAGAATTACAGTATAAGTAGATCTGTTACGGAAAGAAAAATACATCCTTTGTGCTATTGTGTATACATATACAGAACGCACGCGCAACATCAACTACATAAAAATGGCAAAAAAAGAAATACATATGTGAAGGAGATCATGTTTCACATTGTAAAGTGATTTAACGGATATTTATAGCAAATGAAGATAGTGAAGGTTGAGTAACTTTAATGTTGATCAGGTTATTACATTCAATCACAGTCCTTGGGAATAAAGAATATTTGGAACTACTATTTTTTGCACGGAATGGAGTTATTGTTAAGTTATGCTTTTGTCTTGTTGCATACCCAGAAGAAAAATTAATTAGGCCAGAAGTAGTAATAGTATAATGTTTATTTATAAGCTGAAATAGGAGTTTTAATAGGGAAACACGATTGTGTTTCGTAAGTGCAGGTGAATTGGCTTGTTTTAGGAGATGTGTTGCAGAGGTACGAGAGTAGTTATTATAGATGAAGCGGACTGCCTTCCATTGCACCCGTTCAGGTCTATTTATGTAAGCTTGAGTAAAGAGGTCACGAATAATTGCAGCATAACCTCAAGTCTCATAATAATCAAGTACTGCAAGTATAACTGTTTTGTACACTAACAAGTGAACAGAACTTGTTGACAGTCTGAGTGCCTTCCTAAGAAAAAACAATTTACGGTAGGCATTAGCGGTGGCTTGTTCAATGAGTCAAATTTATTTTAGGGTGTTTGTTATGTACAGGCGAAGGTACTTATATTCTGTTACCTCAGAGAGAAAAATATTGTTAGCCAAGTAATTCAAATTCAAACTGAGCTTGTCTTTCTTGTTAGTAATACACATAAAAACAGTTCTTTTCCAAATTAACCGACATTTGCCAATCTTTACACCAGGCAACAACTTGCTAAAATGCATCATTTAGTAACATTTGAAATGAATTATTATCTATTTCATAGTATAGAACACAGTCATTGGCATATAATTTAATCTTTACAGGTAAGTCACTTGCCATATCATTTATATAGAGCAAAAAGAGGGCCTAGAACCGAACCTTGGGGAACACCAGAGTCAACAGTAAGTTTGCCAGAGTCATGATTTTTAAAGGTAGCGAATTGACTTTGCTCACTGAGGTAGTCAAGAATTCAGTTAATGAGCTGCAGATTATTAAGAATTATGTTTAATTTATGCAGCAGTTTCTGATGAGACACTTTATCGAAAGCTTTCGAGAAACCCGTGAATATGGCGTCTGTCTGTTTTTTATTTATATTGTTTGCGAAGTCGTGTACTGCTTGTACCAATTTGGTTATTGTCGAATAGCCTTTACGGAATTCATGCTGATGAATTGTTAGAAAATTAGGTTTCTTGAGGAATTCCAAAATGTGTTTGTGAATGATCTGTTCCAAGATTTTGCATTCAGTTGAAGTTAATGAGATATGGCAGTAATTTTTGATGTGCTGCCTATTACCGGTTTCATGGAGTGGCTTGACTCTGGCGGTCTTCCAGTCATCTAGCACTTGGCCAAACTCCAAGGATTTCATTTGTTGTGTTGTGCCGGTCGGACTTTGAGAGCTGCATGCTGGCTCTGTGAGGTCATTGTTTATTCTCACGGCTGAACACATGCACCAACGCGTCATTTTCATTTGCCACGGAATAGTAATTCATTGCTTTCTGCCATCACGAATATGCAAAACCACTGCGGCAACGCTTTCAAAAACTAGATGGAACTGACCGATGTTCATGCTGGGTGCGCCTTCCCTCGTGCAGCCTCCCTGCATGCCGCCATTGAAGTGCAGAAGCAGAAAGAAAGCGGAAGACCTGTGTGGAGAGTGCTTCAGCCACTTGAGGTCCACTTTTTTTTTGTCCGAACCCCGAGTCGCAGTGTTTTCTGTGGTCAGAAATTGGAGAAATTAAAGATATGTCGACGAGTTGTAACTTCGCGAGGCATATTGTCCCCCTAACTAGTGCGTTTTAAACAATTTGAATAACCAAGCATTGCGTACCAAAGTCACATGTATTCATTCGAAATAAGGCAAAACGTGTGCATCGGCAATCATGCTTTTGCGATATCGCTATATGTATTTTTTATATTAAATCGGCAGTGAAATGGTGTTCATTGCACAAATCCTGTCATTTACATTCATAAACAGCCAAGGGGGTTGCTGTCCTAAACATGTCTGCATGAGAACTTATTAAAGATAATCCCGCAAATGATGTTCTGGAAACATTTCCAGGATGCTGCCAAGCAGACAAGGACATTTATGCCTTTTGAGGATGAGCATAAGATGTTGACTGTTGTCTGGATAGGCCACACTATCTCAGATAGGCAAACAGTTGATGGGGAGACAGCAAGTTAGGTGGACTGATGAAATCAGGAAGTTTGAGAATCAGAATTTTTTTTATTATGTCATAAGGAGCTTTACAAATTGTTAGTATACAGAAGGAGGTCCCATAGTCAGAGACTGAGTCGGGACCTTTAACAGTAATGAATACATGAAAAAATTATTTGAATTAGCAAACAGCAGTACAAAAATAAGCAAAAAGGTACAATGCAAGCTGAAAAAAGGACAAATTAAGAAAATAACAGGAGAAA